CTTCTAGCTTGATGTTATGCCAATTTTCATAAGAAAAAAAAATCTGGTGATCAATGGAAAAATCAACAGTCCTAAATATAATACACTAATATTCCCAAACTAATACTAAACAATTGAAAAAAATGTCTTCCATAATTGCCCTGAACAATCACAATATCCAAAGCTTTAATCTTTACTCATCTGAGCAAATTAATACAAAGATATATCCTGATCTGAAATTAAATTAACTGAATTAATTGCCCTGAAATAAATAAAAGCTTGCAAGTCTTTCATAGCATTCAAAAGAACTTACTTTTGCTTTTGTCACTTCTGAATCCATGGGGTGGTTTGCCTTGAAGATTTTCTGAGCTTCCTGTTGTGGCCTGCAGAAGAGGATCTGATCAGTAATTCAGGTCCTATTTTTTAGACATCTATCCTGTTACATGCTTTCTGCACCTCAGTCATATATGGTGATGGTGGAACCATTTAAATTTTTTTTTAAAAAGGCAGAACTTTGCCACATTCATGCGTATTCTTATTCACTGATTATTTAGTTGAAGAATTCTAAATATCTCCACCCCTTCAAGAAACAAACCCATCTCATTCCCTTTTTTTCTCACATTAAGTCCTTGCTTAATGATGGGTTGCTTAGTAACCTTTTAAAGTTATGGTGGATCCTCCAAAAGCTACTTATGACCCATTCTGAAATTACAGTTGTTGCAGCTCTCCTGCAGACATTTGCCTTTACAACTGACTATAGGGGTGCTGCAACACTTCCCCCCCCCCCACACACCTATCTCCAGGCCAGGTCCCCACAGGCCTCACCCCACCCCAGTCCCAGTAGGGATAGGGCTACCTCCCTAGCACCTGTCACCCATCACACACCTGCCTTTTGAAGATTTCAGGAACTTTCTGGAGCGCTGTAATATGAATAGTTACATAGCGCAATTCCAGAAGTGTCCTCCATTTTCTAAAAGACTGCATTGAATTCTAGTTGCTCAAGAAATGGCAGCTGCTTCTGGAATCACACCACATGGCTGCCTGACCTAATATCTGGGAGATGGTGGGGGAGGCCTGTGGCAACCTGATTAGGGGGAAAAGGTCTGTGGGGACCAAGGGGGGGAGGAGAGAAAGCAAGATTGTGGGAGTTTCCAGGGTGAGAAATGGGGCACTGGGTATCTCGGGATGGGGAAGGCCAAGACAGGCAGGCTTGGGCCTGCACTAGGCCTCTCAGTGCCTTGTCTAGTCACAAAGTACCTCTTGCTCCATTTATTTAACTGCCACATCAGAAAGAACAAGGTTTGTTAAGCAAGATCATCTAGCTTAATGGCCATTACCACTTGTGATCATAATGGCCAAACTCCATTATGATCATCTCAAGAACTACCTACAGTATATACAAAATATCATTTGTGAGTCCTCATTTCCAGTTATTTCATATTGTGCAAACTTACAAACTCAGTTGTTTCCAGCGCTGGAAAAAGTCTTGCGACTGCATCTCTGTTGCCTGGAAAAACTTGTTGACAGTGATAGGCAATTTGAGAACGAGATTCTGCAACGTCCCACCATAGCTATCAGAAATGAGAAGTGAGGACAGACAGACCCATGAGATGGCATTATTTAATAAGATTATTGACAACTTTAAAAGGGGGGAAAGGCCAAAAGAATGAGGTTATTATTAATTACTGATCATATCCATTTTCTAGGATTAGAGGCCCCTGACTATCAAAAGCAGGTTTTGGGGATTGTTTTCTATTGGGGGCTTCCTAGAATATTGACCAATCCAAGCATATTTTGAAATAATTAACATTAATATGATATAAGATGATAAATTAGTGGCTGATGGGATTTTAGAAAATGCAGCTCACGGAAATGTGGGAGACAGGGTGAAGCAAAGCAAACGTGTGTCAAGGCAAAAATTAAAATGCAAGTTTGTGATTATTAGTACCACTTGTTTAGTTTTGTTCATAATTCTGAGAGTTAGAATCCCAGCCTGTCCAGCTTTTCATATTCTGACTCTTTAGTATTCTCTGTGTAAGCACAAAGGTGGATATGCAGGTTCCAACTGCAACCACTTTGAAATGCCTTTGATTGCTCAGATATAGAAACTCTTCCTTCTTTAGAACTGAAGACTAGGCTGAGATGTCAAGCAACGATACCGGAATTTGATGTTGATAAGGGGGGCGTCCGTGAAATCATTCAGGCATTCAATGTTCAGGACCTGTTGAACTTGAGCCCCTCCCTCCACCAGTGGCTCCACTGTTTTTGTCTGAATGTTGAGCTGTGAACTGCGCTAAGGAAAAGGTTACCACTGCTTCTGAGCAGTGCACAAGCAGAATACCCCAGGGCCTGAAAGCCACCCAAACCAAACTCTTCTGTTTCTCACTACTAGCACCGTTCGTAAAAGGATATGGTTCTGCAAGTCACCAGGATAACTGACTGTTGGGGTGAAACTCTGGAACTGGACGGATGTTTTGTTCCCATAGAAAAGATACATTCGGCCTAGAAGGATGGAAATATATTATGCGATGGCTATGGCCCATACTTTCTTGCATTGTGCCATAGTTTATTTAATTACAAGTGCCTGAATTCAGACACTACACAAGTCTAGAATTGGTATTGCAATGTCTTTGATATCAATTGGCAAACCCCCAAAAGTAAATGTAAAACAATACAGAGTGATTTTGAGGGACTACTAAACATTTCACCCAAAAAATCTAATTATTCTGAGTTTTTAACCATTATTAAAGTATCTTTCTGTGGTGCCATCAAAGGTTACTGTGTTCAGTGATTAACTGTAATTTACAAATTTTAATTTACAATTAAAATTGCCTAATTTAATTTAAATAAACAAATTGTTACAATTTATATAATTTGTGAATTCATGCACATTTGGCTGAGGTTAGACTGGAAAGAATACATCCTCTTCACAATCCATCCAAATTAGGGCTTTGCCATTTCCTCCCACCTAGCTTTGTGTTGTATACTGTCATTTCTATTTAGTAGTTCCTTTCCTCATTTTCCCTCTCTTGCTTAAGATTATGAAATTTAGGCAAACTTTTCTTTTTCCGACTATTAAAAACTATAGATTCACACAAACCCTCTAAGACACAAAAATCTTAAAATGCTATTAGGTTTCATTCACTTTTGCTAATTGTGGCTTTGAGAGTTTTATGAACCATTCCATTCAATATATTGTACAAATCCAAAAATGCATTATTTCAGTATTAACATTATTGACTAAGTGTGTTTGTGCTGATAATGGGTATCACATGCAGAGTAGAAAACCTTCCTGTCTTTAGTGAACTATAAGTGAAATATCTGATAAGGAATCACACAGTAAAGTTGATTTAATTTTTTTAAAAAAATATTGTAGAGTTTGGAGAAAGGCTGTAAAGACCCGGCCAGACCTAGTAATGAGTCATTCTACCTTTTTATAATGGGAAAGTATTGGGGTATTTAGCAATATAGGGTCTCTCAGAAGGGGTATGCTCTGCGTCCCATTGGGCAAGGACATTCATTTAGCAGGATTTAATAGAGAGCCTTTTCTGTCCTCTGGAACGGAATTTCTAACTCTGCTGGCCTTCCAGAATACTCTCAAAACTTGGATGTGTCACCGGGCTTGGGGATCCCATGAAAGTGTGACACCCATTAAATGGCTGCACTGTGTAGAAGTGCAGCCATTCCCTTACCTTTCTACTGTAGCTTTTAACTGTAGTTTTGAATTGGTTTAATTGGTTTTAATGGTTGAATTTAATTTTAATTGTGTATGCCTACCAGAATCACATATAAATAATATGGGCAGCCGTATACATTGTCTGTCTGTCTGTCTATCTATTTGTACTTACAGCACTATCCTAGAACAGAGAACTTAGCAAATACAGAATATTTTGTTTTTGAGTTTCATGGCTGAGTGGGAACTAGAAACTGGGTATCATAAAACCATTCACTTCATATTGGCTCCTCACAGAAATGTTACAGTAAGACCAGTATATATATCCCTAACATACATCTAGTCCCACATGTCTTCCAGTCTTCAACTGAAAAAAGACCACTTATTGTCTACAATGTATTCATTTTTTAAAAGAAGGCTGCCCTCATATAAGGTCACAGGATGTATCAGATTTGTTTAGAATCTTGAACACATCCCAACTTGACTACTGTACTCAACCTACTACAAATACTTACCTAAATTCTGCCGGAATTCTGACTTCACCCCAATTTGCAGAAGCTGGTTCTCAAAGAGCACCCCATTATTCTTACACACAAACCTGTGATAGTTCATGAAAATTTGGTTAGATTTAGGCAGAGACTACCCATTATTTGTAAACGTGTATGTTATTTCTACTTGGAAATGCCAGTCACTTTTCCCACATGTACCAATTCTGATACCAAGCCACTCATCCCTTTCCCCCCCACTAAGGTATCAAGCTCAACCTATTAACTCCTCAAGCTCATACATTTAAATTTATCTAGCATACTGGGATGGCCAATTTCTTTCCAACCATTCCATCTGGAGAGTATTTCCTGGAAATAAAATTATGCAACGGGTAATAATGTTGACTGAGGTTTCAGTGTTTCAGACCAGAGGAAGTCATCCCACACATGTCAAAGAGGAGTGGCATTTAGTCCAGTCCCCTGCCCCAAATCCCAGCATTCAGGAGACACAGTCCTACCCAGTGATCTTACTTGTGAAGCAGTTCATCAGCCTCAGCAATAGGCAAAGCAGAGTCCTCAGAGACAGAAGCAGTAGCCCCTGAGCTGGTGGTGGTGAAGGGGCATAGCAAAGGGGCCAGCAGTTGACAGAGGAAAGGAAGAAAAAGAGCAGAAAAGACAAGTCACCTGGTACAGCACCATGTTAGTATCAGAAAGAGAAAAGGAGGAGGGAATCAAACCACACACATCTAAACATAAAGAGAACATG